TCTGGGCCAGGTGGTTCAAAATCTTCCTGTCCTGCAGACGATTTCCTACCCCCAAGGGCTCCCAACTCATGCCCTGCATATAGTTTGCATGGAATTAATGTGTGCTCCCTTGGGCTCCCACCCAGCTGGGGGAGTCCACAGTGGTGCAGTACAGTGGTGGGGGCACCTGCATGGCCTGGTGCAACACAGGGGGAGGGCACCCACACAGCGTGCAGCTCAGGAAGCCTGTGGGCCCATGCAGTATTTGAGTCCTGGATGCTTAGAAGCTGGATAGCTCTGCCCTGCCCCACACGGTAGGATGTCAGGGTAGAATGTCAATGCCATTCAACCACAATGAGTTTCTATGAAGCAGCACTGAATAAGCTCTGTGACTCTGAATATCCTCTGTAGTTTTAACTCACTTCCTCCGCTGTGAAGAACAGTCTCTACTTATGGGAATGTTGGTGCTTGGCTTCTTACCAAGACTGCAAGAGCAGAGATGGACTAAACAGGAAGTCCAGTAAACCAACCACACTGCCAATCAGGACCACTTGGAGGGAGGAGTAGAAGCTTGGTTTGGTCCTATTTTTAGATTCAAAAGTCTTATTCTCCCTGGCAGGACAGAGTCACTAGACTTTTTTCCTTCCTGCAATGTATCCTCCCCCCAAAGTGCAATACCTTCCTTAAACATGGAGGGGAACCCACCAACTCTTGGTCCTGTTAGAGAGTCACAGTGCAGACTGACAGGGCTCTAAGCACTCGCTAGGAGTCTGCATGCTCATGGTTCGGTGATGGAGCCCTGTTGTGGGAAGCTTTGGGACCCTGTCCACAGTTCCAATCAACACTTGAGCCAAATACATTAAATGAGATACCGATGCCTGTAGGTGGATCACCCAGAGACCCAGAGGGAAGAAGGCAAATGCAGATGAGATGGGGAGAGATGCTGCTCTGCCTGCAGAGTTAGAATGCGTTGGAGAAAGTGTGAAGAAGCATTAAGAAATTAAGTCAAGGACAAGGGAGCCTTCTAATTGTGTTAGGCACTGAATCAACAATGCTGTGGTGTGCGCTAGGACAGTGGTTCTCAACATGATCAGGGGCCAGCAGGGCAGGCCCTACGAGGAGAGGCTACGGGACCTGAACCTGTTCAGCCTCCACAAGAGAAGTCTGAGGGGGGATCTAGTGGCCTGTTACAAACTAGTCAGGGGGGACCAGCAGGCATTGGGGGAGTCCCTGTTCCCCCAAGCACTGCCAGGAGTGACTAGAAATAACGGTTACAAGCTGGCAGAGGGTAGATTCAGACTAGACATCAGGAGGCGCTACTTCACTGTCAGGGCAGCTAGGACCTGGAACCAACTTCCGAGTGAAGTGGTGCTGGCTCCTACTCTGGGGGTCTTTAAGAGGAGGTTAGACGAACACCTTGCTGGGGTCATTTGACCCCAGTACTTTTTCCTGCCATGGCAGGGGGTCAGACTTGATGATCTCCTCAGGTCCCTTCCGACCCTACCAACTATGAAACTATGAAACCTTTTGTGTACCCATTTGTAAACCAGCGGCCAGGCTTGACCCGCT